GCTGGGACTGTGCCCCGACGTTTCACAGGGTCAAGCGGCAGAGGTGTGAGCGACTTGGGTCGTGTAGGGAAGAGCGCTGGAGTGGTCTCCCGTGACATGCGAGGCCGATCCAACATTCCCACACTGCCATTCTCTGAGGACGACTCCGACTCGCCATCTGAGTCCGCATCTGGTGACTGCTCACGTTCGCGGCTATCCTCTTGGCTGTCGCGCCGGATGGTCAGAAGCTGTGACTTGCTCGCGTCGCCATCTGGAGCATCGAAGAACTCATCTACAGACTCGGCCACTGAGTCAAAGCTGTGACGTGATCCTACAGCAGAAAGAGGTGCAGCCGGGGGCATCCGTCTTTGTTTGCTCTCGCTAATCAGATCAGCAAAGTCCCTGACAACAGAGTCTAGGTCTCGGAGTAGAGCCATGCAGTTGTCGTGAACGCTCTCCTCATGTGGAATGCTTGCGGAACTCATAATGGTGCTCGCGCGTCCATTGCGTTTGGGTACGGCAAGGGTGCCATTACCTGCCGCATTGGAGGCACCAGGAGGGACGGCTCCAGGCGACGCAGCTCCTACTTGCGCTGACACACTCCTCTTAAAGATGCCGGCGGAGGGACTCTGAGCGGCGGAACTGCTCGGCTTACGCTTCCAGAAAGCCATCTTCTCAGGGGCTTTTTGTTCGGGGAAGTAGTCACCTGCCTCGTCGTTGGACGGCGTTGGCGACAGACTATCACCCATGTTTCTGACGCTCATCGCAGACGATGCGTTGTACTTTGGATCAGTATCCTGAGCTAACCTCCGCACTGCATCTCGTGTACCTGAGACTCTGCCGACCAAGGCCTCAACTCTTGCCCACTCGTTCTCTTCGGCTGAGTTCAAGACGTGCGGGAGGCTCTGATATGGGCTGTCCTTGATTTGCAGGGTCGGTGAAGCAACCGCCCCTCTATCCGAAGCGGTTCTTGAGGCGCGATCGAGCGCATTCTTCCACATCTGGAAGTCTTTCTCATTGTTTGCTCGCAATTGCCAGATCTCCGCGCCAGAATCGACGGATATCTCCCTCGTCTCCTCGTTCGCGCCCACAGCCGCTAGTGACAAAGGTATGGCTCCTCGCAGTGCAGAGGAATGGTCGTTCCGGTAGTAGGAGAGTGTCGAGGATGTAAAATCCAAGGAGAAGAATCTCCTGGCATAGCCCTGGTTCCTCTTTCTCCTCTTCTTCTGCAGCACTCCTGTGAGGAACGAGGAGCCAGACAGACTGCCTTGTTTCTGCCCGTATTGTGATTTCGGTCGCTCGGCGTAGGCTTGCGGTAGGGATTCTGAGGATTCGATGGGGCCCATGGAGGGGCTCGATTTCGGGAGGCTCGTGGTGCTCGCGCCTGCCATGGCCTGCGCGTAGTGCATGTGATGACCAGACTTGGGCGCCGCGTTGGTCGGATATGTCATGAGGACGAAGGTGGCTGTTTTTGACACGGTCTTGGAGAAGGTGTTGTCAAATACCAGTCCGTACATGCCACCCTCGCCTGGCGGTACGTCGTATGTGCCCATGGAGACCAAATCAGCCTCGCATTTCCCATGCCAATGCACTTGCCGCAGCCCAATAGCCGCCAGCTTATCTAAAACGACCGTTCTGTCATTCCGCGACGTCGAAGCTCCGCGTCCGCGTGTTGTAGGTGGCTCGAGGGTCGGCGTGCCGGGCCCGGATTCGACGAGCGCAGAAGTGGGCAGCTGGGGAGTTGCGCCGGTAGCTGTGCCGGGGTGCTTGAAGATGCCGAAATTGAGCGACTTCTTGTGCGGTTGGACACTCCAGGAGATGGTGTGGCCTGACGAGACATTGACCCATCTTACAAGGTACGACTGCCTTCAGTCAGCGAGGAAGCGCGACATGGATGCTGTACATACCTTGCTATGCACCTCGATGTTCTCCATTCCCGCCATGACTGGACTCTGCTACTATGCCTCTCTTTGTTATGCGTTGAGGTGGTCGTGGTCGTGAATCTTGAGACAAATACGCGGGGTGCAGGCGTGGAGTCGCAAGCGTGTATAAATGTCTGGCGGTCGAGCGAATGCAGGGATCGATGGTGACGATGGTGACGATGTTTCCTAGCAGCCGGGCATTTCGGAAGTCGGATTGCTAAGGGTCGGGCGCGTGTTCGGTGACTTGTCAGCTTTCACGGGCGCGCTGGTGACGATGTTGTCGACTCGGAATGCGGATTGCTGCGAAGCCGAATGGTAGACCGCCGATCTGAATGTAATTTGACCCTTTTCTGTTTCCAGATTGTTCGAGACTACTAAGAGAAACTACCAAGTTGCTTCTTTGTAACAGCTGTGCGAAAAAATGCAGCGCAACGGGCAGAAGACGTTCCAATGCTTGGATGACATGTGTCGACGCGGGCGGTCTACGCTGGCGGCTGGTAGCCAGGGTCTTCAGCCTTACTACGCCATCTTTTCCTCAGCCACGCCTTTTCCACCCTTTAAGCTACTCGACTGACCGGCTTTCTAGCCACACACTTTGCGATAATTACCCGTCTTTCTTCCATCCTGTTTCGCATGCGACGCAGCATGGGAAAGCAGGTCTTCGCTGCGCGCACGCCCTCTGACGCATTTCTCATGTGCATCCTGCTTCGGCCGATGGATCTTTTCCTGCTTTCCGACTCCCGCCATCCCGCTCCATCCGACTGATATCATACCTGACTACGGCCGAATGCTTCTGGCTTCTAGATCTCGTGACAATGGTCTGCTGGTCGGTACGACGTACGCCCTGCTTGTAGCGCTATACGTGTATACGAGCGCTGAACGAGTACCTGACGCCCCACCCTCACAGCCGACCCTCAGGGCCAATTCTCTCACAAATGCAACTACACCGCCAGGCGCTTTTTGATACAGTTTCTTCCCTTTCCGCTTCTCTGCCAGAAACACTTTCACTCAGTCTTTGCTTCATCCCAATATTGTTGTTTTGAGACGGCAGGACTGCACTCACTACCTTCACGCAGACGGGACCTCGGAGACGCACACCACAACGCGTTTGCATACCCCAGGAGGACACATCAGATCTCATACTTTCTCATCTGAGCTTGAACATCCAGCAGTCACGAATACTGCGCCATGGCATTGTTGCCTGCATCTCACAACGTCTGCCGCACTGACCCCGCGCCAGAAGTTTCCACCAGCCACCCTGTGTCAACGTAAGCACAGGTACAAACATCGCACGTGTTTCACATCAATTCAGATCAGTAATCTGGAGTACAACTCCAATATCGCGTGTCGACGATGATGCCCACCGACCCACTATACCCATTACAACACGGAGCGTCACCCCCTTCGGACCCCGTTCCGGACAAGCGTTTCTACGCGCACTACTCACGCGCAGGCCTTTAGTGCATCCCAAACGTCCTTCCAGAATTATTCCGCGAGCGATTCAGTGTAGTACGCGCTCTAGGTGCAATATGTGGGGTGTTCGCATACGTCAAGTAATCTCGAGCAATTTACCTCGTTCGCACCTGTAGATCGTCTGGTCCGGGACCCGGATTAGTTGGGTACTGGTATGATTCTGTCCTTGTTATACTTACCATGCCGTTCCCTCTTCAATGTCTATTTCCTAGCTACCTTCATTCTGTGTGAACTGCAGAAAACGGACAAAACAATGGTCAAGTCAATTACGATCGCGCTATCTTTAGCAACTACCACCCTCGCAGCTCTATACACAAACGGCTCATCATGGTCCGGCTGGGCCAACGTAAAGCAACTCTTCGTCTTCGGTGATTCTTACACACAAACCGGCTTCGACGTAAATGGGACACAACCCAGCGCCTCAAACCCATTCGGCAACCCGGCGTACCCCGGCTACACGTCCTCCAACGGACCCAACTGGGTCGGCTTCCTCTCTACAACCTACAATGCTAGCGACCTCCTCACCTATAATATGGCCTACGGTGGCGCCACTGTCGACTCCGACCTCGTGACACCATACGCCCCCACCGTCATCAGCATGAAGAACCAGGTCCGTACGGAATTTCTGCCTACCTACGGTTCGCACCCCGCCACTGCACCTTGGACGTCATCCTCCTCCCTCTTCGCCTTCTTCATCGGCATCAACGATGTAGGAAATAGCTGGTGGCTCAACAACGCCACGCTCTACGACACCATCTTCTCCGTCTACGCCGACCTCCTCAACGATGTGTATGAGACCGGGGCGCGCAACTTCTTGTTCCTGAGCGTGCCGCCTGTCAATCTTGCGCCGTTGACGCTGAACCAGGATGATGGGGGGTATGCGGTGGAGAACGAGGGGAAGGTCATCCTAGATTGGAATAAGAGGCTGGGGGAGATGGTGGATGCGTTCCAGGCGAATCATACGGGCACGAAGGTGTTTGTACATGATACATGGGGGCTGTTCAACAAGGTTATTGAGGACCCTGCGAGCTATGAGCAAACGGCCGGACTGAAGAATGTCACGGGCTACTGTGCGGCGTATATGAAGTGAGTCCTGGATGAAGTCCAAAGAGAGCATTGCTAACAGATTGATAGTGGAACGCCAGATTGGTACACCAAGGATGCCTCGTGCGAGTACCCGGTCAACGAGTACTTGTGGCTCAATGAGTTACATCCTACCTTCCCTATCCACAACGCTACAGCCGCTTCGATTGCGGAGTTATTGAGCAAAGAGTAGAGGACACAGGGAATGGAAGCTACAAGCTGAGTGTTTCATAGGCATCAATCAAACGAGGGAAAGAGTAATGAGCAAGAACGGTAAATTCAAAACTGCTATGAAACTACTATTACCAGCGAATCGAATCAATGAAAGAGAAGTGTAAACTTCAGTAAAGGAGATCAACCGCCGCTGATCAAAAACAAACCAACTACCTGACAAAAAGAGAAAAAAGTGTGAACTTTTGTAAAGCACGATCAAAACCAGTTGATCGGAACAAGCAAAAACAGCTTCCATCTCCAACTCAATGACTCAAGGAAATGTGTGAGCAACGATCAAAACGCTAATCAAAACAGACCAAACGCACTCCCCTAGTAGTCGATGTGAGTCTTGAGCGGAGCAACAACACCATTACCAACCATAGCACCATGCTGTCCCTGACCATGTCCATGGCCAACAGAAACCAGCTCCTCACTGCCAAGGCTCCAGTCGGCAATACCGCGGAAGCCACCCTCCTGGCTCTCCGCCTTGCCAGCACCAAAGGTCTTCGCATCCCACTTCTCGGTGCCCTCGACACCCTTCCACTTGGCCTCTGCGCCGAACAGACGGAAGAGCTGAGCATTGAGGTGCTCGTACTCGTTGTAGCTCTTGGGCCATCCGCCGTAGCGCTGGTACGCCAACTTGAGGAGGTGCAAGTGCTTGAGCGCAGTGGCGGACTTGTCGAGTGTGTTTGAGTCGACGGCCGCGGGACGAGGCGAGTTGGGTGAGTTCTGGACGTTGACGCCTTCGCGAGCGAGGAGCTCGGCGGTGGTGTCGTCTTCGTCGTCCGAGTCGTTGGATGCGGAGGTTTGGTCGTTGACGAGGACGCGGAGGATGTCTTCGTGCACGCTGATGGCCTTCTTGAAGTAGTCGGCTGCGAGGCTGGCGGTCTTCTCGCCCTTGGCGGCTTGGGCTTGGTAGGCGTGGCCGGTGGAGGTGTAGAGCTGAGCGAGGAGCTCGTACGTCTCGATGGTGACAGGGGCGCGGGGACCGTGGGCACGGCGCATGTTGTAGGCGATGTCTTCGGCGAGGCGGATGGCCTTGACTTGGTGGTTGGCCAGGTAGCGGGCGCAGATGAGGCGGCGACCGAGGTTGAGCAGGACTTCGGAGGGCCATGAGCGCTGAGCGTCGCGGGTTTGCCAGAGAGTGGTGAGGAGCCACTCGAGGGTCTCGTAGTCTTCCTGCTCGCCGAGCAGAGCAGACAGGTGGCTGAGCTCGTAGAGCTGGACTTGGGCGAAGTTGATCTTGAGGGTCTTGCAAATCTCGAAGATCTGCTTGACGATGCGGTTCGAGAGGTCCAGCATCTTCTTGCGGAGAGTAGCGTCGGGGCACTTCTCGCCGTCGCGGCCGACGAGCAGAGAGGCGAGCTTGAAGCCCATGCTGATAGCACGAGGACCGTTGTAGCCGTCGTGCTTGCGAGCAAAGAGGAAGCCGAGGTTGGCAATGTCGTATGCCTCGTGGAACTTCTTCGCCTTGGTGAGCTTGGCGACGCTATCATTGCTGGAGAGAATGACGGCGCGGTTGAAGTTCTTGTTGCGTCCGTGGCCGAGATAGTCAAGGATGCCAATGATGAAGATACGTGGCGACTCCTTGCTGAAGTCCTTCAGGTCCTGGGCGTCACGCTTGACGAACAGACCAACGGCCTGCTCCTCGACAACCGTGATCATGTCTTGCTGATCGTTGCGGCGCAGGAAGTAGCGGAGAGGAGCGGCAGCGAGCAGAATGTTGGTAAGGCTCTCGTTGTTTTCCAGAGTCGAGTGGAACTGCACCCAGTAGATGTACTCCATGGTCAGATCAGCGTAGATCTCCGAGAAGCCAATGCTGAGATCCCTACGCAGGCTGTACTGGAGAGACGCTAGGAAGGCGATCGCGGTGCGGCTGCTCTTGGTCAAGTCGAACGACCACTTAGAAGCGTTGCGTGCATCCTTGGCGCAGATTTGACGATGAAGCTCTTGAACCATGGCGTGAGCAGTGCTGGTCTGCTCGATGGCCTGGAGGGTGGCGGCGATAGACTTGGCCGACTCAATCTGCTTCTGCGACGAAGTCTCCTTGGAAACAATCTCGGAAACAGCCTTGGAGATCTGCTTGACAGCGAGGTCTGACTTCTGCTGGCGCGAGTACAAAGACGCAAGCTCCCTCAAGCTAGTGAGCGAGGACTCGTGGCTGTAGCCGTTCTCGCGGGTAGACTGCTGGAACTGCGACTCAGACATGCTCAGAGCACGCTGGACAGTCTCAGCCTTCATGTTGCTGGAGAGCGAAGAGTGCATCTGCTTGACGTAGAGAGATGACAACGCTTGGTTGATCTCCGTGGTGCTGGTGGTGGTCGTCACCTGCTTGCCTGACTGCTGCACCGCCTCGTAGAGAGCGATAGCCTCAGACATGTGCGCCTCGCTGCTCTGAGCAACCTGTGCAAGTGCGAGAGTTGCGCTGATAGCAGTGGTCGACTCAGCACCGAAGACGGCAATGGCAGTCTCGCGGTACTCCTTGGTAACCTTGTAGAGCTCAGACCAGTTGGCCTTGGTCTCCTCCAGACACTGGTAGTATCGCTCGTACAGAGTCTCGACAAACTTGACGTCGGTGAAGACCTTGTGCTGCTTGGTCTGACGGACGAAGGTGTTCCACAAGACTCCGTAGAAGGTAACTGCCTCTGCGTACCTACGGTCTTCCCAGTAGGTGACAGTGACTACCAGCATGGCGTCAAGTGCGTCCTTGTGGCAGACATCAGAGTCTTTGTTGAGAGCAGTGATAATCTGCAGGTAGTAGTCGAGCCAGTAGCCGTGGTTGCGAGGGTGGCTACGGCATCTCTGGGCCAAGATGTACAAGGTCTGGATGGTGAGCTCGTGGGTGTGACCGAGACGTGCGCGGTACACAACCAAGATCTCCTGGTACGTGCTGATAGCCTTGTCGGCGTAGCCGTGTTTGTCGTAGAAGTTGATCAACAGGTTCTTCGACCTCTCGAAGGTGGCCTTGTCGACCTTCTCAGTGACCAAGACCGCGCGGAAGAAGCGGTTGTACACATCGTCAACCTTGTCCAGCTGGCGCGTTTGCAGGTAGCACTCCGCGAGGCGCTCGACGAGCTCAATCGACTCTTGGGTGAACACAGTCGCCATTGTGACATCATGGATGGAGTTGGCAAGGAATGAGGACCAAGTGCGCTGCAGAGTCGCGTGAATGACGTTGATGGCAGCGGTGTAGTTCTTCTTCGCCATGTGTTGGGTGACAAGCTGCCTGGCGAGCGACATGGTGCTTGCCTCGACAGTCTTGGAGCTTGCGATGGTTGAGAAGAATACATCCTGGTAGACAGATTCCGATACAGTCGTCGTAGTGGTAGTTCCAGTGTGGTTCAAGCTGTGCTGAACGAGCTCCTTGGAAGTCTCAGACAACTGCTGGCTGACCTCGCGCGACTCACTGGTCTCCTGAGAGCTCATGTTCTTGTGGTAAGAATGGGCGAACTTGAAGATCGAGAGCGCTTGCGAATGTGCGTTCATACTTCGCATCTCCTTGCCGACAGTCAACAAGCGCGACACGATGCTGTTTGCGAAGGACAGCTGGTGCGACTCGTACTGCTGCCAGACTGAAGACAGAATGGCGGTAGACTCGCTGGTGCGCTTCTGGTTCTTCAAGAACTGAGCATAAGAGGTGGCGATCTCAATGTTCTTCTCATGCCATTCCACAGATTGGACTGTGCGGCACTTGGAAGAGACTTCCATCCAAAGCTCGACGTACATCCTTTCAGCCTCCGCAAATCTCTTCATGGAGAGAAGCTTCTGGATCTGGATCAACTGAGCGTTGATAGTGGAGATGGTGAGGGCCTCAACTATCTCCTCTTCCTCGTGCTCATCATCAAAAATGTCGTCGTAGAGGTCAAGCTCGCCATCGCCTGTGTCCTTTCTGAGTGTGAGCTTGAGGTGATCATTGATGTCATGGGCCTGGTGCGAGTCCCTGCCGTAAAGCTGGATGGTTGCATCCTGGATGAGACGGTAGATCTCGATAGACTTTTCCTCTTCGTTGATATTGGCGTAGAGCTGAGCGAGAAGCTTGCGAGTCTCAATGACTAGCTCAGAAGTGCTTCCGTACTGGCGCTCATAAGTCGTGATCAGAACCTTGAGGATCTCCTCGCGATGAGTCATGATCTCAGTCCTCGTGGTGGTAGTCTGGGTCTCAGTGATCTTCAAGAACTGACTAGCACACTCCAGAGTCAACGGGTGCATGTCAGACAAGACCTTGCGGCTGACGAAGGTGCACAAGTAGAGGTACTTGGTTGCTTCCGGGATGTTGGAGATGAGCAGGTAGCTCGTGGCGATGGACAGGTACGTCTGGAGAAGACCAGGGTGGTTTTCTGGGAGGGTGCTCTTGCGGAGAACGACCACAAGCTTTTGCAGATCCAAAGCCTCGGGGATGGGAAGTTGGGTGTCCCAGCAGTAAGACTCCAAGATGGGGAACATGGTGCTGTCGGGGAATACCTTCTGAAGCTCGGCAGTAGGCTTGAACTCGCCAGTGGACTTTGGAGCCAATGGAGACTGCTGAAGATGCAGAACCCAGTAGCGTACCGCGTACTCGAGGAAGGGATGTCTCCTGAACAGCCTGTCGGGAGTGGTAGGATCGAATGTGTCGAAGGTAGGTTCGGTGTTGTGGTCCTTCAGGGTGTGCTTGGTGTAAGCAAGAACCCTGAGAAGCATGTCGGTCTCACTGTCCTTCAGAGGAATGGGAATCTTTCCGTTGGCGGAGAAGTCATGAAGGGTAGAGTGGATAACGGGATGCTTGAAACGAACAATGCGTTGGTGCAGAGTAAACAGCGGCTCAAGCGTCCTGAAGATCTCGTTCGTGTTGACACCCTTGTCGGTCACAGTGCTGCGTTGCACGTCGACTGAGAACAAGGTGTTGATCTCATCGATTGTGAGAGGTCGCTCAGCAGCCAAGACCCATGACAACAAAGTCTTTGCCTCGTTGGTGGGGTTGAGGGCGGTAAAGAGCTTGAGAGTGAGGTCCTGAACGGACGGCTTCGACGACTCAAAGCTCTCCAGAGTCTTGATCAACGCATCTGGTGACTTCTGAGTGTTCAGCAACTCACAAGTCAAAGTGACATGGAGGAAAGATCCGTTAGACATGGTGATGATGCGGTCCAATAGTTGCTCTTGGTCGAAAGGACGCTGACCGTGGAAGTGGTGGTTGTGGATCAAAGCACGTAGGGCAACGGCGTGAAGGTCGTCTCGAACGTCCTCCTTGACGATCTGGTGCTGAACTCCCTTGGCCGAAGTTGGCATCTTCATGGAAGATGACAATGTGATGAGTCTGACTCCGTGGCCTTGTTGAGTCACCTTAGCCAGCCTCTCAAGCAGATCAGCTGGGCTGAAACCACCCATAGCTTGAACAGAGGCGCTGTTGGAGGCTGCGATCTCATCAAGACCGTCGACAACCATAACCAACTCGTTGCTACCAGATACTGGCTGCTGGAGAGCCTCACCCAGTGCCTGCCACATGGTCTCTTCGTAGGCCTTGATATCATCGGTGCCTCTGCATCGGTTGTAGGCATTGAAAAGAGCGTGGTACACACCCATGTTACCAATACGAAGGTTAAGCAATTGGTACAAGAGCGACTTCACTACTGCCAAAGATGTAGCAGCAGTCGGGATGTCAGGCGACAGCGAACAGAAGAGTGTGTCGTACTGCTTCTTGTTCATAGGTCGCTGCAATCGCTCGACAATCGATCCCGCCAATGTCGTCTTTCCAGCGCCCGACTGACCCGTAACAAGGAAGACCTTGTTCTCGCTCTGGAAAAACCTGGTCATGTGCTTGTTGAACCAGAGGCAAGTGAACTCGGCTTGGTTGTCAACATATGTCTCGTGGTCTCTGGTGATGGCGGCAATGACACGGTCTTGCGAAGCCAACCAGCGGCTCAAGTGCTGAACACCAATAGCCTCACCCTCTTCGAACTCTCCGCCTTCGATCTGGGACTGCCAGATCAACTCGACGACGGTGTTCTGGCGAGTACGGAAAGCATCAATGGTCTCACCGAAGAGCTCAAAGATGTCAAGCGTTGTTCGGCCGGGAGTCATGCCCTTGACGGTCTTGTAGAACTTGATGGCCACGTCTACTACGAGAGTGATGAGGTCTGTGTACAACAAGCAGATTTGCTCGCGGATCTCTGAGCTACCTGATGTCAACAGCTCTGAGCGATGCAGAACCGACTGGAATGACATGGCGAACTTGTAGAAGACGGAGAAGGCCTTGTCAAGAGCCTCGGAGTTGTGGTGGCTCAGCTCGAGAAGGAGCTGCGCATGTCCATATCCGATGGTAGCTGCCGAGCTGCTGTCCTGAGCAAATGGTTTGACAGCTTGCTCGAATTTGTGAAGCTGCTCAGCGAAGTACAGAGCGCGGATCAAAACTTTGTCCCAGCGACTGCCCTTGTGAGGGAGAGTGGTCAGGCGTTCAGATCTGATCCATTCCAGGAAGGCAACGTAAGAGACGTTGCCGATGCTCTGAAACACACCAGCGCCCAGCTCGGCCATGCTCTTCTTCCGGAGAGAGGCTGCCGAGTCCTGGACCATGGATGTTTGGTACTGGTTGCCGTTTCCTCGCTTCAAGTTGTTGAACGACGACTTCATCATGCTGAAGTTTCCGCTGGTAGCGCGAGAAGAGGTGAATGATGGGAGACGACCCTTTGTGCGAAAGAGGGCTTGAGGTGACTGTGGAGGAGAGAACACCGCAGATGAACCGTTCGCGCCGTTGGTCTGTTGCCTAGACGACGTGGGTCTGGGCGATTGCATGATAGGCGATGGAGGTTGTGGAGATTTGATGGTAACAACGGACTCAGATGAGATGCTGGAGCTCACTGAGAAACGGATGGGGGATGGCGAAGGAGGACTGTCTGGCTGCGGAGACAGGTCAAAGATTAGCTCCGTGTTACGGCGAGCTGGTGTGGGTGTTGTAGGAGCAACACGAGAAGATGCAGGCGAGACCGAAGGTATTGACTCTGTGAGTGGTAAGGTGTTCCTTATCACTGGACTAGGTCGAACAATAGGTTCTGGTGATGGTTGGGGATTAAGCTCAGGTACTGCCGAGGTGGAGTAGCTGATTTGTGCCGGAGAGGGTCGACCTTTGGTGACTGGCAAAGACGGCGGCGAAGATGAATACTTCGTGGAGGGAGGAGACGAGGTTACGTCGGTCTCGATAGATGCGATGGAAGCTGAGCGTCTATTAAGATCTTGAGAATCTACGGATGCCTGGGAGGAGCGCTTCTTTTTATGTCTCTCTGGGAAGCTGGATCAGTATGAGGGAATGTTGAGGACGGGAGGCCGACTCACTGAAAATCTGTAACATGAGTTGAGAGGAGCATGAAAGATATGCCTCCAATGATACTCAGGTCGTCCCTATATATCCCAATGGCTTCAAAAGCTACGATCATACGCGGCAGAGCTCACAGACCACGAGCGGGGCACATGTACTTTGATAGTATGGATCAACAGCTTGTCGTCATAGTCTGAGCTTGTGAGTATTCCCGATGAGAATCAACAGCTTTACGCGCAGGAGCTAGTCCATCGTACCAGGATGAGCTCTGTGGATAGCTCAAGACAGCCCTAGAGTCGATAATGCAGGTCGGCGATCATGCATCCTAGCCGAGCTTGACACGTCTGGTACGTCGTTTTTGGCATGAGTGAGTGCATTGACGCGCACGCATGGTGCATGAGCTCCACCGTATGGAGTACGTGGGGAGGTTGCGCTTGCTCCGTAGTCGAATGAACCAAGCCAATGCAACTAAGGTCCCAGCCGGAGTGGGGAAGCTTGAGCCATGGCGATTTGATCTGGACAAATGCCGCAACAACTTGAGACAATCGCTGCAAGGAGCGGGGCTCAGTCAATCTGTGTGTAGGTTAACCAAGACCGGTCAACAAGAGTACCATTTTGGGAGCTTTGTCACCAGCCTGGTATAGCGAAGAGGCTGCACATCGATGCCATGGCGTCCAGTAAAGTCATCTGGAGTCCTCGTGGTCGAGATTCTCCGTTCCTCGAAACCTGCTTCGATCTGTGGTCTTCCAGAGTCCATGCTAGACTGTCGGAGAAGAAGATTCCAATAGAGTGGTAACCGTACCGCATCCACGACATGCATTCTGCAGGAGTGAGATATCACATGGCTGGCGTTTCATTTTTGATGATTCTTTTTGCATCACCACGCCTCGCCCGTCTCCACTCCCGTCAAACACGTCCCCTTTCCGTGGTTGACGAGGCGGCAAGCACAGGCACCGCCGTTGGGGTGCAATGTCGCTCTCAACAGCGTGGGCAAGCCACGATAGCCTGCAAGCGAGCAGCCTGTTAGCTGCTTCCTGAATGGTCGGCGACCACGTCTGCCGTGGCTCTAGATGGAAGTACGGGATACCTCGCTAGTGTTGATGGAGTTTAGGATGTAGGCGGGGTTGACCGAAGTCCTATAGTGTGGATCTCATGGCCCGCGACGAGAGCTGAACTGTCGCAATTAGGCCAGGTGGATCTGCGGGTGGAGGAACGGTCCTCCCGCTCTTGGGTCAAGCGGCCCACTCACATCGCTCCTCACCGACATCTGCAAGCCGCAAGACTGATCTGCTTCTAGCATCATCGATGGGCGGCCCGCTAAAGCAGAGTGCAGAGCTGATGGGAGCAGGGCAGACCCACCACTCACGTCGATCGATTGCGCTGCCGGAAATCGGGGCAGGATATGTCCGGGATCTGAGTAGAGCCATTCCTCAGCCTCGGAGAGAGGTCGTCGATGCGTCTTTGGCTTTCGGCATTTTCCTTTTAGCCTTCCCCGTCGATTTGCGCTTCCACGGCAGGGCTCGCTTATCGCTCCGCGACAGCGTCGTCGGGATCGCTTTTCGACGACGCCCAAGACACCAGTTGGACATTTCGATAGATGGAGGGAATTTCGAGAGAGATGGCAAAGAGCTGATTTCGCTGCTCAGATTGGCATCGGGCTCCGTATCGACGTGTCCTTCGGAATGTGTGCTTTTTGCTTGTGTCCACGCTACGTCATGCGCCAGCCCGCGCCCTAGCCGCAGATCCTGACCTCCACTCACCTCCACTTCCAAGGCTGCCTGCATCTCCAACTCTAGTTACTTTAGACGATGGCGCGTCCCACCAGCGTCCTTTTTGGCACTTCCTCACCACCCGCATTCCTTATTGGGAGCCACGAAATTAAGATTCGGCTCGAACGCCGGGTCATCGGGCTTCCCGGCAACAGCTTCCCCCAGCACGGTACGGAAACCGTGCACGGCTAATCGTCGTTGTGTTTTGAAAGCCGGAACATTTTCCCAGCGAATTCTTTTGATTGATTCGTCCGTGGGATCTGCAGTTTTATGTGTCCTGTAAGGCAATTGGGTTCGGAGAGCTCAGACAGCGTGTAGAGTACCCGCTGACGCCAACATAGAATACATGCTTTTAGCAGTAGACTTGTCGACAATTCTCAACAAGCACGCAATCTCAATGGAATGGAAAGCGCGTATCCACAGCTCGTGATGTACACCTGGCGTCATTGCCCGGTCGTGCTTCAATTACCAACTGGAGGATGTTCCATCTAAAGTGGAGGCAGTGACCATTACTACCTGGCATGGCGCCACAATAAGCGACACTGCAGCTACCCAGATATCGGCGATGTCTTGGACTCGATACGCATCGCTGTTCTTCCACTAGCTCGCCAACATGATACATCTGAAGACTGCGACCGACAGGACCCTCGTCCGAAACGGTACGAAGGCGCAGCCATGCCCCCAATCGGACGAAAGTTAGAAGAAGCACTCAAGCGTGGGAGGCTATGGTAACGTAGCATTGCAAAGGCTACCACGCTGCTCTGCACCGCAATCATAAGTGTGCTCTCAACGGCATACACGCTACTTCTCGGCTACCCGTGAACGGTCGAGCGACAAAAGTCTCCGGTGAGGCTTCGCCCGACCAAAATGCTCACGATACTTTATTGCAACCCCCACCGGGTAATCACAATGACTATCAACAGCACTACGTCTGTATGACGGCATACCTGCTCCGCGAGTCGTTCGCGACAAAGGCAATAAATGGAGTGTTTGAAGCAAACATGCATGCCGCACGAACGTGACGAGCACAGTCAGTGCGAGGCGCTGGGAGCCGTGATTGACATTCTGACATGCCGGATTCCCGTGGCGCCACGGAACGCTCAGCTGAACGTCGCCTCGCTTGTGGATGATCTACTTCAAGTGGATCTTTAGTCTGACTCGAAATGATCGAAGATACAATGCAGCACATCGCTCCACTTCTATCCTGCATCGCAATTTCAGTGTGAAGAGGATGGAAGCCAATCAGATCGGCTGCGCATGAGGAGTACGGCGAAACCGATACAGTGGGGGTTGCGCAGTGTGGTTAGCAGAGTCGTTCTTGGAGAACTGATCGGCAGTCTGTTTCCGGTGGTTGCGAGTCAAGCATGTGTCTGGTGATATCACAGGTTGGAATACGCGCTCTTAAGATTTGACAACAGACAGGAAGGGGAAATGCCCACAGAGCTATCACAATCATGTCGAACATCAAAGCACGACTACGGTGGCCAGCACGATCTGTTACCAGACCCCGTTCTGAGTCAAAACTGCATTCTCTTCTTCGATGAGTGAAGATTCTGGCGCCCTCAATAGCAGGCGTAAAGTCACTCTTGACCATGATACGTACTAAGGCTTCTCCGATCTCATTGAGATACAACGCCATGCTTGCTCTGCTGTCAGCATGAGAGCGAGAAAGCTCCAGTCTCATGTCATGCCATCCACTGCAATCACGATGTCAACGTTGTCTCTGTCTTCCATAAGCTAAACATGTGATCTCGACATTGAAAGTCACTGGTCACTGTAAAACCACCCGAGGACACGAGAACCTGCTGCCGTAAGCCGGATGAACTCCTTCTCTGTGTCTTTCATGGTCCGTATCATAGAAAGAACAAGCATGTAAAACGCTATCCGACTAGGTGACACCTTGACAACTTCAAACAAACATACCCAGCAGCGCACAACTATCAGTCACTGACATGTCTCCTTGAACACCCTAGTATAAGCATGAGTAGTGACATAGTAATACACTAGAACTGACATGCATATTCCGACGCCTTCATCCAGTTCCACAACATGATGCATGATGCAGGGCGATGTCGGTACTAGTCCTAGTCCATAGAATGCAACGCACAACGCCCGTAACGGGGACTATACTTCACCTGCATGAAACGAAGTGTGAGTCCATCCTACTTGACACGATTAGCGGTTCACTAGGCATGTAAACTCGTCGCACGCATGGTGTGCCTAGGTACCTTGGATCTCCACCTGCTTACTTCCTGCACCCTGAACTCTCTGGTCACTACGGCTCGCATCATACCTAAGTTGGATATCTCGAAGTCGCCCCATGGCACTCCCTTAGCCTTTGTGAAGTATGTACGCTCGCATATCGTCGCAAAGACTAGTAGAGATACTATGATATGTGGTTTACACGTCTTATACTTGACTCGTAATGTTAGTTTACTGCGACATACTCAAAACAATGTCTGTCTTGATTACATGCTACTGCTGATCAAATTTATCGCAAGCATACCGTATACAAAAGTGCTTTGGCATCACCTCAGTGATAGGCCCAAATCAAGACAAGGCTACCAAGATACAGTTCGAGTCAAAGCTACACTTATCCTTCGTTACGTGGTATGCTACTGCTCGTGCGTGAATTTATAGGAAAATGAAAACCTCTACATTGCCATACTGTAGACTCAAGACTAGCAAGGTTCTGAAGAAGTTCCCACGATAAACCGTCTTGCCTACTACTCGTATCGTTATAGTCTTGACGCACTTACAAGTTCTAATATTCTACGTGTCTTCGAGAATTCTAATGAGCTGGCTCTTACTTTCGCCATCATATCGAAGGAATAGTAATCTTGATACCCATCCACGCAAGACACATGCGCGTTTCTCAAGAACGGTCGGTGTCTTCAATTCCTCCGATTCATCGTCATCCTCACCATAAATCCTCGCCTCCGGAAACCTAGGCACACCGAGCCCTTCTTCTCAGCTTACCCCGAACCCATGATCACGAAGAGTTTGCACTTCCGCTCGCCTCGAGGTACCTTAGTCTATGAAGAATGCCGAGCGGCGGTATCTATAGTTACCCCGCGCGCGATGCCCCGCACACGCATTATCGCTCGCCGACCTATCATTAACGTGCTAAACGCCGGATAGGGAGACTATCGGAAGCGTTCCGATAACGCAGGCGATTACTTGGGCAGATAGGGTGCTTACGTTTGTAATTCCGAGGTAGTGACCGAGGTCGTAGTTGCCTCCGTACGAGGGGTGGTGATCACT